CACAAAAAAAACTTATATGGTAGTAATTCTGTAATTAAAATTTATAAATAAAAACTTTCATGTGAGATAAAATTTAATGAACTTATTGTGAGTTTACTGTGTGTCAAAAAAACATCGTAAGTGCTTTTCCTCATTTAATTCTTTCCAATGTTTAGAAGGCATGGTACTATTACTGTCACATTTTAAAGTCGAAAAGCTGGAGGCACAGAGAACTGAAATAATTTACACAGAGCCACACAGTTAAAGAGGCTTCAGTTTGGCATCTGAATGAACACTGAATGGTTCTGGGGTCCATAATTTTAAGCAGTACACCATACTACTTCTCTGATACAAGGAAAGAGATACTCCCTATGCTGGGTGTTATTTTCTTTCCCCTTGCTAAAATTATTATTTAGTATGATAGGTAAACTAAGTCTAAAATATTGGTCTTTCATGGACCCAAGATATTAAATCTTTAATTTAGCACTCTATCCTTGTTTCATTTTAGGCTCCGCTAAGGAAGGAAGACAAATCACATTAAGATGACATATTTAGTATTCTAATATATAATTGAGCAATATCATAAATTACACTGTTCCTGTTGCCCAGCCTACAAGTGAATGTACACGACAGATTCATCACTAAACATAAGGAATATTTCTCCCTAAAGGTCAGAAAAATATTCTCTCTACCCAAAAGCTATTTAAAGAAGGGCTAAACTCTGAAAAAAAAAAATCAGGCTATTGGCAACACCATTTTCCAGTTCAATCAACCTGGAAACCTCAATTATTTCTTAGAAGAATAATGGTAGGTTAACTAACTGGTAACTCAATGGACTCAAATGTCAGCTCTGCCATTTTTTTACTTAGGTGTCCTGGGACAACTTGGTTTACTACTGTCTGTCTGTATCCTCTTGTACAGAGTGGGATGACATTTAAAACCAGTTTAATGCCTCATCAGTCCCACTTAAGTGTTACATGAGCCTATTTCCTTCACAGTCTCCCTTTCCTCTCTACTCCTTCTGGTACGACCTCAGGCATTGGCCTCATGGTGTCATTCCCATGCTGCTATAGTAGCCTAAAATCGATCTTCTTATCTACATGTCTTCCAACTGCAATCCACTGTGAAGACATCTCTAGACTAACATTCAAAGAGCAATCTTTTGTTCACAGGATGCACCCTCACAGAATATTCTCTCTCCCTCTCTCTTTTCTTTAAATTACCTTCCAATTTAGTTTAAATTTACTAAATGGTTATTAACATTTTCTACAAAGTGGGCTTGTGTCCCAGGGCTTATGTGTTTTATGCCATTCATTGAATGTACAGAAACCTCTTCCGGTCTGAACTTTGGTAAGCCATTTCTTTACTATTGTGTTATCTCCCATGTGCATCAAGATCTAGTGAAATGCATCGCTATGATGCAATCTTGGACCCATGCAGTCCAGAATTACATCCACTTCTTCAGATATCCTATAATGCGTTGTTTTCACACATTTATGCCTTATATGTCTCAAATTATTTGAAGTGGCTTTGTTAACTTTACTACTTTATATCTTTCTCTTGATGTAAGTTACCATATCCTATATTTATTCACACTTGGGTATATCCTACTTCCTTAAAAAAAAAAGATTTTCTTTGACACTAAGTTTTTCTTTCTCCCTTTCACTTGTTCTCATGTTTCCTAGCACAGTGCTTTTCGCATTTAGGAGTATATGGTAAATATGAACTAAATCAAATGGGATAAAATTACTAAACAGAATCACTAGTTTTATCTTTCAGAGACTAAATCCTGAAAGTGAGAGTAGAAGCCTTCTATAGGTCCTTTACTCTCAAAACCAAGAATAGTGTTGGAGCACAAATCTTAAGTCTGTTCGCTTTAGAGCTACAATCTTTCAAATACTAGTAAGTTTGAAATTATCCCCCTGATAAAATTTTTCAATGGTTTGTTTTCAACTAGTGGCATATAATGGGACTGAAACGAGTGAATGACTAAAGTAGAAGAAGATGAAAACTTCTGAAGAGTCCAAAAGAAAGCATCAGTGTGGCTAGTGTACCATAAAGAACACTGCTGTGTGGACCACACACCTGAAGGTACAGAAAGACGAGGAAGTTAAGCTGAACTGCTCATTCCAAACCTCTCTGCACTGCATGGGCTGACTGAGGGACCACACACACAAGGTATGGTCATGAATTCAGATTCTGAAAGGATAACAGACCTAGGAATGGGCTCTGCCTGCAGGGAAGGAACTTTTTAATGTGACATGTTTTCTTGAACCAAACAGTTTATTTATCTAAGGCAATTTATTTTGGATTGCTGAGTGGTGCTATTGAAGCTCAACATAAGTCAACTGTTATTTTTTTTTTCAAAATTAATCATAAAATACTCAGTACTAAATATGTTTTGTGTATATGGTTTCAGGTTTGAGAATAGTGTTTTTGTGGAGCTAAAAGAAAATTAGATCAGCCATAGAATCTTAGTGACATCTAGGTTAACAGTATAAAGAAGATTTAGAATTAGACTTCAAGCTTCATTTTCATGAATGACAGATTTAAATTTTGTTTTACATTTTCCTGATATGAAAGTTAAGGATAAAAATATGTATCTCATGATATTATTGCTCAGATTAACTGAAAAGGTTGAATATAAAATACACAGAATCGAATCAATACTTAATGAATGTTTTCCTGCTCACAGTCCTTCAATTTACACGAATTACTTGTTCAACAGAACATTGGATAATTGTTCACCCAACTTATGTGACAATCATTTCAACTATTGGTTTTGTTTTTATAAGTTTTTTCTGTCTCCTTCAAGCTAAGTATTTCACACTCCATAAGTACTTCACAATTGCCACATCTTCTCTCCAGAAAGGTCACAAATACACATGTTCATCCTAGGTCTGCAGTAAACAATAAGATATACAAATATTCTGTTTTTATATCCTCTATATGTGCATAGTGATTGAGCAAATGGCTAGTTTTTTTCATGAAAAATTCAAGAAGTACAGGCACTTTCTGAAAGTACTTTGCTTTATTTATAAAAAAAAGTTGGAGTTTAGTTTCTGTTTGAGCATGCCACTCAACAATACTCAGTGAGTATCCTTATTATGAGTAAATTTTGTGGCATGATTATGAAGTTATAATGCTTGATAAACATACATGAATTGAAATATCTGGATAAATTGATTACAAATTAATAACTATTAACATTTATTGAGCATTTATTATATACCTGAAGCTATGCTGTTCTTTACATGTATTAATACCACAAATGAGGTAGTTCTTAATTTTATATCCATTTAAAAGAGACAGTAAGAAATTTGCTCAGTCACACAGCTAGTAAGTGATAAATCCAAAATACTCTCATGTATATTTTTGAAGATTCACACATGTATGAAAATGTCACAGTGAAACCCATAATTTGTAAAAATCAATATGCATCAATAATTATAAATTTAAAAATAAACAAATGTAAAATGTTTATCTCCAATCAGAAGGCCTGATAAGGTCCTGGTTTTGTTGTTTTTGTTATTAGTAACAGTTTGAAAGCTAAAGGTATTTTAATAGTTTTACTGTTTCCTTTACATCATAACATACAAACAGCCTTCCAGACTTACTTTTCTACCTTACCATGGTATGAATGCAACAGGCATTCACAAGGAACCATACTTTGAATTTTGAACATTGACCAACCCTCAGTATTGGGTAATATTCCCTCCTGAAGCTGGGAAGCCACAGGGAGCTTAGCTCCCTGTCAGCAGGGCCATCTGGAAAGGAAACCACTGACACTCTGCAGTACACCCTGTGGCTGAGCTTGGATGCTCTAGAGCATCTGACCAGATGTGTTAAATGCATTTCCAACTTTCATCAATCCAGGGTATAAAGCCAGGTGTTCATCCAAGTCTGAATACTAAGTCTAGATTCTTAAAGCACAACTTATACCATCTCATTATTGAAATAGTAGATTGGGAGATAATATATACACATCAATACTGCCATTATTGCTTCTAAATTTGGGGGAATTCTATTTTAGAATTGTCCTCCAGACCACCCCACTTCATCAAACAAGGCAGTTGAGCAGGTGAAAGCTCAGCTCTGACTCTATGATCCCTTCCAGTTCTAACATGCTGTGATAACATTGATTTCTGTGATTTTTAATGAATGACAGAAGATTCTTTGGAGAACTTTGGGACTCTAATACCAAATACTTTTTATCAATGAATAATTTGAATGGTTCACAAACTTACATTCAGGAATCTACACTTTCATTTATTTCCTACTTATTTAAAACAATCCAAGTGACATGATAAACAATACAAAATAGAAGACAAAAAAATAAGATATTAAGAGCAACCAAAAATCTTTAACATTATGAGGATCATGCTTAAGCAGACCCAAAGTTTAAAATTTAATGTCAAAATGTGTTGTGCTCTTAAATACACAGGCCTTTAAATTAAAGTTATTTAACCTCTAAGTTTTTGATGGAGGCAGCATCCTTTGAAAAGTCATTTGTTCAAGATCTGGATTCATCACTTTGTAGAGACTTTGAGCAAACTATTAAAGCTTTGGGGATCTCAGTTTTTTTATTTGAAAATGGGAATAAAAATAGTTATCTTAAAATATTTGGGTATTAAAGATAATGTTTATAAGAATTTAATGATACCTGACAAATATTAACACATATTAATTTAATATTTATTTTAATTTTTTTCATGTTAACACTAGCTAATAACACTAATCTCCTTTACTCTTTTCAATCTATGATTAGAGGAGAAAAAATCTTGAAGAAAGATGTGCTACATGTAGGTAATAAAATGATAATAAAATCAGTGAATGAAAATCTTGAAATTATATAACAATTCAGACTAACAAATACATCATTTTTTTTATCTTTGGTATACATTTTCCCTCAATATTAACTTTCAAGAACTATAAATAGAAATTTGTTCTTTTATGATTGTCTGCCAAATACATTCAGTATGACTGCAATTGAATAGAAAATAGAAATACATATTACTTACTGTATATAGTGCTTGGAAATTTCAAAATGATTTGAAAACATTCATCCTCAAAATACTTCTACAAAATGCATCTGTGGAAGAGGAAAAACAATCCAAAAAAGAAAAAAATAAGCAATTTTCCAAGGCCACTGAAAAATTAATGCAGACCAACACACATTAAACATTGTTTAACAAACTGAAATACGGATTTGCAAAATATAGATGCTACACCTAGCAAAGTATAATAGGCTATGAACAGAAATATTCTCATATGCATGCAAATATTCTGAACACTGGTCAAGGAGACACTCCTAAGCATGAGGTAGGAAAAGTCTGCACGTTGGCTTCAGAATTATTTTAAGTACACAGTACTCATGGAATATTGGTAGAACAACATAAAAGCAATTCAAAATATGAAATGTGTATAAGTAAATTTAGTTGGCGATTTGAGATGATTATTCAAACACATTCTAAAATGTACTTTTGTCTGATATATGAAGACCATTGAGTTAGAAGAGTATTTTGCTTGATTTATCTAGAGAATTGTACCAATTCACTTTGTAATTGCATTTCTGTTCTAATTGAAAATCATGCACTGAAAAAAATGCAGGCATGCCTCCTGCACACCTCACAAAAATACACAAGCAGATCTATGCTGTTTTTCATTAAGTCAATGTGATTATAAGGAAAAATGATTTAATCAGGCTTTATTAATTAATTTGTTTGTTTTAGAAGATTGGTATTGGAAGATCACATTAATTTTGAAACTCAAATATTTCAACTTAAATAGATTTTATGCTACTGGAAACACTGTTTTATAAAAGAACTGTTCACAAGAAACAAAATAAAACATATCCTAATGAAGATTGTATATCATCCTTTAAAGCACAGACTTCAAGTTTCCGACAGATCAGACACACCATGCACGATCTAATAATTAGTAAGTTTATTTAAAGGAATTAGCAATTTTATTTAAAGGAATATTAGTTATCAATGACCAAAAGAATTTCTGCCCAGGGAGATGTGGGGCTTTATAGTACTAAGCAGAAACACCAGTTTACTAATGCAGAAGTTGTGCTTTTTTGTTCACCAAAACCTATATAACCAAATTCAGCATTGTTCAACATTCACAACAAGTACTCTGCATAGAAGGTCTAATTTATCTTCCCTTAGTGTGTTAAAAAGACTAGAAAGACTCTTGTCTCCATCTAGTCCATCGATTGATAATTTTGCTAAAGTTGAACACAGAGCCTCTCAAATGAGATGAAGCTAGAAATAGTTAGCAAGTTTACAGCTAAATGGCAAATATAAATCAAGAAATTCCCAGAAACTAGGTATTATGATAAATTTCATTGGTCTAAGTTTAAAACTTGGAATTTAATAGAACATTCAAATTCACCTCCCTATATAACTTCATTAGAATTACAGAGTTAAAACAGCAGGTATTTGTTTTTCATACTTTACAATATTCATCCTTATAGACAAGAGGATTGAATTGAAGACTAATCCTGTGGTTAGTCTTTCCTAACTTGACAAACAGAAGCTGAACTTTAACTCTGAACAAGCTTTTCTAACAAGAGCTTCACATCACAACCACACCTGCTAGTTTCTATGCACAGCAGAGATTTCAAACTGGGTTCATAAACACTAAATCTCACTAATGATATTCTTCATGAATTACCAAAATAATAATTTTTAAAAATCTGTATGGTACCCCCATCATTACTCACCACAAAGCCTAAACAAATAGGAGCAAAACAAAAAAAAAAGGAAGAAACATTACACAATTTAACTTAAAAATATACTACAAAGTTGTAGTTATCAAAAGAGCATGATTATACTGGCATAAAAACAGACACTGAACATGAAACATGAAACATGGAACAAAATACCCAAAAGAAAAACCATACATATATGGACAATTTATTTTGAATACAGTAGTAACCCAGTAGAGAAGGGATAGTCTTTTCCATAAATGGTACTGGGAAAATTGGGTATCTGCATGCAGAAGACTGAAATTAAATCTCTATAAAAAACTGTCAGTTAAAAAATCAACTCAAAGTGAACTAAAGACTTGGATAAAAGACTTGAAACCATAAAGCTACCAGAAGAAAAGATAGAGGAATGCTTTGTGACATTGGAATGGGCAAAATCCCCAAAGCACAGGAAAAAAAAAAAAAAAAAAAGCAAAAATAGGCAAACTAGTTTACAACAAACTAAACACCTTCTGCATATACTCCCCCCCAAAAAAAAATCAATACAGTGAAGACAATCTACAGAATGGAGATAATATTTCGAATGACACATCTCACAAGGGGCAAATATACAGAATATGTAAGGAACTCCAAAAACCCAGAGCAAGAAACAGATAATCCAATTTAAAATGGGCGACAGATTTAATAGACATTTAACAAAAAAAGACAAACAAATGGTCAACAGGTCAATAAAAAATCAATATTTCTAATCATTAAGAAAATACATATGAAAAAACATATTGAGATATCACCTTACTCCAGAAAGAATGACTATGATCAAAACACTAAAGAAAACAAGTTCTGGGAAGGATGTGGATAAAAGTGAATTCCTGCATACTGTTGGTGGAACTGTGAATTAATATAGCTATTCTGGAAAACAGTATGGAATGTCACACACAACAAAAATTAAAAATAGGACTCACAAATGATCCAGAAATACCACTACTGAGTATATATCTAAGGAAATGAAATAAGTGTGTTGAAGAGACATCAGCACTCCTATATGCATTGCAGCATTATTCACAATAGCCAAGAAATAGAAACAACCTTTGTCCCTCAACTGATGAATGGATAAAGAAAATTGGGTTCATATATACAACAGGGTATGATATAGTCATTAAAAATAAATCTTGTCATCTGCAAAAACATGATGGGGGGGCTGGGGATGTGGCTCAAATGGTAGCTCACTCGCCTGGCATTCATGAGGCCCGGGTTCGATCCTCAGCACCACATACAAACAAAGATGTTGTGTCCGTCGAAAACTAAAAAATAAATATTAAAATTCTCATTCTCTCTCTCTCTCTCTCTCTCTCTCTCTAAAAAAAAAAAAAAAAAAAAAAAAAAAAAAAAAAAAAAAAAAAAAAACATGATGGGATTTGAGACCATGATAAATAAAATTAGAACATGTAGACAAATGCATGTGATCTCATTCATACATGGAATCTCAAAAAAAATGACCATTAGAAGTTGAGAGTAGAATGGCAGTTATCAGAAGCTCATGAGAATAGGGGAATGGCAGAACAAAGGAGGGATTGATCCATGTGTACTAAGTTATAATTACATAGGAGTAAGAAGTTCTGGTGTACTATTTCATGGTAGGATGACTATAGATAATATAACATTATGCATATTTTATAAATCTAGAAGAAATCATTTGAATGTTTTCACGATGAAGAAATGACACATGTGAAGACATATTTACTCTGATTTAACATTGTACAGTGTACACAGAGATCAAAATATCATGATACCCATAAATATATACAATGTTTAGGTTTCTATTAACAGTTTAAACTATAAATTTAATTTAAACTAAAAAACTGGCTTATTAACACATATTACATCACACCATGGCTTTAAAAATATTACACAACAGTCACGACTGGTATATTTCTCATAAGAATTCTCATTTCTAGCTTTTTTGAAAGAATTTTCATAAGGCTGTGCTCAGAACTCACATGTGGAACAGAGAACTGGCTGCCCTCTTCTACGGCACAAGCCTTCTTCACTCACCCAGCCCTTACTTTTGCAAACTCTTCTACTTGGTAATTTCAAGCACTAGAGGTTTTGCCCCTGATCCAAACCTTCTTTCCTGCAAAATACCATTGGAATTCTTTGCTCTGAAACTAGAGAGTTTTTCTTCTTACGTTCAAAATGTTTACACTGTTGGTTAAAGTAACTTCTTAAAATATGTACTTCAATACAGTATTATAATTCCCCAAATTAGGTGCTATTAACTAGTTATCATGTTTTAATTTATATACATATTTTAAAATGTTGAGGGTTTGGATTTCCACATATTTAAACATAGTAGATCATTTTTAAAATTAAGGGAGAAAGTTATAAACCATATCATTGGTACATCATGAAAAGAATTAATTATTTCAAACAATGATTTTAACTGTAACTGTAGACATAATGTTCCTATAGATATAATTCCTGGATTAAAAGAGATACAATGTACCAATATAATTATAATCATAAAGAGAAATCCTCCAATTTAATTAAACTAACTGGACTAGGGAAACACTAAACACTAAATGTGTAGCTAGCTATGTGACCCACAAACTTAAGTTAAATGCTAGTATGATGAAAATATCTTGAAATATCAATAAATTATGTAAAATCCTTAAAAAATATGGGCTGAGAATTCTGGTGGCTCAGGTAGGAGAAGCCACCTGAATCTGAAACTTTCTACATATATATCCTAAAAAATATACAACCAAAAAAATTTTAATAAAACAAAAAACACAAATCCTAAGCCTTTAGCCTAGGAAACTAAAAAATAAAAAGAAAATTTTCAAATTATCTATTAACAGAAAATTAAACACCAAATTCTAACAGAGCTTATCTTTCAAGTACCCACTGTACACAACAGAGATAGAAGGGATGGGCGGGGGGTGGGGAGTGAGAGGAAAATAGTTAGTTGTTACAGTAAATGATAAAATTCATGATGAAAAATACGATATAAACAATGGAATGAATAAAGAATAAAGTGAAGAAGGAAAGTCCTTTCTTTATGTAGAACATCTCCTAAAAAAAAAGATGGATTGATGAAGTTAGAAAATCACCATTAGCAAGCATACTTAACCATCTGGATCAAGAGAACATTAGTGGATCAGAACCAGTGGGTGAAAGTATAATGGGAAACACACATTTCCATAGTTGGAAAGCATCTTCCCACAAATTGGTTATTTATTACAGTGGGGGAAATTGTAACCTTCAGTGGAGAAACTTGGCAGAAACTACTTTAACTAATTGATCAAAGACAACATCATCAATAATGGGACAAATACACAGGACACACCAGAGAAGGATTCAACATCCCTTTTGTGGTA